TTAGGCAAATGTTTCTTTCTGTGATGAGATTAATATATCTTTCTTTAAGAGGAATTTAGCAATCATTTTAATGAAGAGGCTTTGGCTAGTGAGAACAACAACATGATTTGGGGGGTGGGGTGGGCAAGGACAATGAGAAGGGATAAAAAAATCAAACCTATTGCCATCAAGTTGATGCCAAATCCTGCAGAGTAGAACCGTGTGTGTGGTAGGGTCTTCTTGGGGGCAATATTTAGGGAGCAGATCAAAAAGATTTTCTTCCTTGGTGATGCCAGAGTGGTTCAACCAACCAACTTTTCAGTTGAAGATGAACACCAACCACATGAACTACCCAGGGACCATGAAAAAGCTCAAACGCATTAGTTGAGAGGATGCTGAAAGTACCTCTACTGAACGGACTCGTTATAAGACCGTGAGCAACTGTGTCATTGCAATATCACAACATGAATGTGAATTCCCCAAGGCAGGCCTGTTTCCATTGTTGAGAGAAACATCTACAAAAAGCAGACAAAAATGGGTGGTAAACCTGATGCGTTCCCTTTGAGGATAACTATGGAAAGATGTAAAGACAGATGGAGGCGCATTGTCTATCTTTGCTGCAGCGCTTGAAAAATAAAGACCAGAAATAAAAATGCCATCCAAAATGTTGACTCTCCTCAAACCATAATTTTTGGTTTCCACTTGAAGGCCATGCCCATACGGAGGAAAAACACATTCATTTGGGTTTTGTGGTTTGGGGAAATGACGGCTGGACAGGAGGTGGAAGCCACAGCGGAGCATTCCTGGACAATCATGCACTGCAGGCAGGAGGAGGTCACCATGCAGGCAGCTCCTTCACCATAAAAGTCAAAATAGCAACAAGACCACAAAGAACTGAAAGCCTGAAACTTTTCTTCCCACCAGTTCAAACTGTCTGACTTCTATCAGCTGGCTCCAGCGATCTTGCCCCCTCCACAAGGTCTTTCTTCAGTAAAAGAGTTTGCACCTCCCTTTGAACTCTGTCTATATAAACACACAGGTCCCGTGGTTCCCCAATCACTCCATTAAATGCATTTGCTCTCTGGCTGGGAACATAATGCAAAGCCATTATAGCTGTATTTGTTCAATGCTTGTTGCTTTCACTCATATGTCAATAATATATCCTGTATGCCCTTCTAACTTAACTGCGAGTTCTGCATCTAATTCACAAAGCATTTTGCTGAACCAAGTCTCCTATACAAGTAGTTAAATTATCAGTGCTTTAAAATAAATAGAGAACAAAGCCACTTCTGAGAAAAACAAGAATGAAATCAAAGCAAGCCACAAAGCAAATAACTTTTGCAATGCATGTGCACCTCCTTTTTCCTGATTAACATGTCACTGCTCCCTCCTCCTCTTTAGGCAGGTGTACAACCTCTCAAGTATGGACATGATTAAGTTCCAAAGACCAGGTTGATATGCAAAAATCAGCATTACAAGAAAATGGAAGATGACCACATCAGATCACAATGAAGCATTACACTACAATCATGGCCAAGCCAGGTTGATACATAATCCTACCCATGAGAGCCTGTTATTCACACCTCAGGGTCCAAACTGCCAACCCATCAGCGGTGGAGCACTGAGCCAGAGTTCGTCCAGTCACGGTTCACAGTAGTAACATTAACACGTGTGCACCCACCTGAATAGAACAGAGCCTTACACAATCCTTGAGTCCCTGCCCCATCACCTCTCTGTACTTCTACATTCAGATTGTGCTCACTCCAAATTTTGATAGCCTTTATGATTTTAATACCTATGACTTCTCCCTAATAACAAAATGCTTAGGTTTTAAAAACTTAGTAGTACTCACAAGCCTATCTGTGCAAGAAAATCCTGGTTATCACCACTAATGGCTGAGGTCTCATGGAAACTGACCAGAAGTTCCCCATAATTACATGGTTTGTGCTTCACTGGGAGTTCACGAGAATCATCAATGTGGAAGTCAAAGGGAGTGAGACTGGGCAGGTGGGACGCCTACAGCCAGGGCATCTGTGTCTGTGGCACTGGGTGGAGCAGGAGCTCTGGCAGTAATTTGGTCAGTCAGGAGAGCAGCTGTCTTCTTTGCTCCCAAGTTCACCATAGCCACGTTATGGATTGAATTGTACCCTAGCCCCCCAGCCCAAGGGAAATCCTAACCCCGTACCTGTTGTGACCTTGTTTGGAAAGCGGGTCTTTGAAGGTGTTATCAGTGAACAGAAGAGATATGAAAAGACAAAGCGATGAAGCCCATGCAAAGACATATCAACACGTCACAAATGCCTGGGAGTACCGGAAGCTGAGAGAGACAAGAATCATCTCTTAGAGGCTTTCAGCAAACAAGACTATGCCAAGATCCTAAACACACACACATACACACACAGCCCTCATAAAAATGGAATCATACTACATATGCTGATTTTAACCAGATTTTTTTCCCATTTAATGGATCCTAAATGACTTATCTCAATTGCATGCTTCTATGAGCATGTTTGATGTATGATATGATCTATAAATAAATAGAAAAATCACAATGAAAATCCAAGAATATAGACACAGAAATCAGAAAGGTACACTTTTTATAGGAATAAAAGTTGACTTGTGATAGGCAGGTTTATTGTGCCAACCTGGCCAATAAACACATGTAGAATGAATAAGGCCACAGTTTATTTTAAGGGCAAAGAGATAAATGGCTCGGTGAGCCTCACCTTTCTGTGTCTGATGATGAGACCAGTGTGCAGCTGCCTCAACCAGTTCTCTGCCTCAACTTGCAAGCTATACTACCTGTGAGACACCCAACCCATGGACCGTGTCACTACAGTTCTTGAGGTTCCTTCAAGACTGGCTTCCCCACACTGCTGGTGTAAATATCACTTGAGCTGGGGACTGTCAGACCCTGTCATCTGGATGACTGTTGGTGACCCACCCTGCTGTTTGCACCCGTGGCCAGACTGCCTGTATTTCTCTACAGAAGACTCAGTTGTCTGCTTCCTTGACTTGCACCCAGCAGCCCTTGTGAGTTGAAGGACTGTCAGGATAGTAACTGTCTCATGGAAGTGAGTTGAACTGAGCACTCTATACTGCTCTGTGGACTAATTAGCTGTTTGTTTTTTTGTGTTGTATATCTATCCATATATATGTATATATATACACATACATATACACACACACACACACATATATATAAAGTGTCCTGGCTTTGTTTCTCTAGAGAACCCTAACACACTTGTAAAGAGGTTACCTGTGATTAGCATTTTTTTATTTATAGTTTTATACATGAAATTTATGTGTTCTTTTAGGTGTAAATTGGCTAATGAGAATTCTGGGGTATCTTTTCTGCACCTTAAAACGTACCACAGTAAAAATGTATTGTCTTTAACATTTTCAATTCTGATGTCTTAAAAGCGAATTGTGAAGCAGATAGTTTAGAATGCCTGACTTTTTTACAGGTCTTTTCAAAGCACTCACCTTGTTCTCAAAAAACAGAAGCACCTTATCTGCTGTACTTCCATTTTGATGTGTGCAGTCTCTCAACATTAAGGCCAATTATCTGGTAATATGGAACCTTAAAATGCTTACCATTGTTGGTTGCAGTAGTCAATGTTAAGTGTATTTCAGTGGTTCTCAACCTTCGTAATGCCGCGACCCTTTAATACAGGTCCTCATGTTGTGGTGACCCCCAACCATAAAATTATTTTCATTGCTACTTCATAACTGTCATTTTGCTACGGTTATGAATTGGGTGACCCCTGTGAAAGGTTCGTTCAACCCCCAAAGGGGTCGCGACCCACAGGTTGAGAACGGCTGGTGTATTGGTGTATTTTTTCCCATGGGGTTGAGTATGTGATCATATCTCAGTCTTCAATGTGCCTGCCCACCAGAGGTTGACCCTAGTATGTTAGGCAGTGTAGTTAACAACCAGGGGTCCTGTTGGCCTTGATCCTCGGGGATGATGGGGGCATGCCAGTCTCTGTGCAATAACTAGACCATTTGTCCCATGAGAGGAGCAAATATTTTGCCACTGGGCTGGCTGTGACTCACAGTGACCCATGGGGCTTCCAAGACCAGACTCCTTATGGCAGCTGACTGTTGCATCTTTCTCCCGCAGAGCAGCTGGGCACTTCAAGTGCCCAGTCCCTAACCACTGAGCCACCAGGGCTGTGCCAATGAGAGTAAGCGCTCTCAACAATTTCACACAAAATCAGGTGGGTGGCAGCCAAGCCCTACAAATATCACCCATCCAGACTGTTCAGATTGCTCGGACTCTTAAAAAACACTAAATTTTTGCTTTGTTTTTTCAATCCACCCCAGAAGCCAATCTCCAAGGAAAATTATAATGCTTGAATCTTTGCAAAGTGTAACCATTTCTAACGTTTAAGGTACCCAAATTTTATAAAAACAACATCTCCTTTTAACGCATTTAAGTCAGACAAAATAAAATCAAGCCAACCTAAAAAGACTTGGGGTGGATCGTAATATGCCTGATACACTGAGGGCACTTGGGGTTGTGTGTGTTTGTTTTTTAAACATGCTTTAGTTAACATTCATTTATAAAACATCTTTGAGAATTTTTAAAAAAATGTAACAAGCTTTAAGAACAAGAGTTGTTCCTGGATGCTTCTATAGAGTAACAAATTCAGAAACAGAAAACTCTATGTGCAAATAGGCACTCCTACATATTCCATACTACATATAATTGTTAGCTGTAGTAATAAAATATTACTTTTAAAGGAAATTGGTAAAGGAATATCAAACATGAATGTGAGTGGATATTATTTCAAAATTATGTGTCTTCCTACCTCATGAGACACATGTTCATGGGTAATGTTTTTTGACCTGAAGCTAGGCATACAATGTTACCTGAATTGAAGTAAAAGCTGACACAGTACTCAATGAAAGAATGCAGATTCTTAACTCCAAGTGCAAAGTTAAAAACAATGAGATGAGGCCAACATTTTTTTTTAAAATAAAGATTTGTATTATTATTATTATTTGGGGGGGAGTACAGTTGAGGGTCTTCTGGGTTTAAAATATGATGTCAATCACATTTCTATTTCTGGAATGAGAATATAAGAAATCTACACATAAACTGATCAAAAAGAAAAGAGTATTAGGCTTCTAAGTAAGCATCATACTTGCTTTTTGAGTTCTTTAATCAGATGTCAAAATAGTTATCAGAAATTAGTACAAAATATTTTAAATATCTAATATAGAATTTTCTCCAGTTTTCATCTTAAGGCCATTATTATCAAATGTTTTTCTTAAGATTTATATGATGGCTCTATAAACATTAGGTGCTTAAAAATTCATTATATGACATTTAAGTTTCCTTCACCAATTATTAGATATTTCCTCTAAGAGAGAAAAAAAACTTAATCAAATGGTTAAAGTAGCATTTCAGATTTTTAAATTGTTCCCATGTAGATAAAAAGAAGGCTTTTGTTGATAAAAACAAGCAATACAAAGACCACTATAACTTAATCAATCACATAAAATGTAGCATCAATTTAGTCAAGTATTCTGTATTTGAAATTTAATTGCACAAATATTCAAGATTAGTGAATTATGGTGAGAAAATAACAAGATTAACAGAAGAACATGGAAATAAACAACTTTTCAACAAATAGTAACTCATAAAGCTTTTTTCCCCTCATTACTTTTAGAAAACATGCAATCTAGTTATTCAAGAAAAGTTATTTAAGGAAGACTTAAGTGCTTCAAGTGGAGTGGGTTTCAGATTTAAAAAAATATATTTTCAACTTTTCTGAGAAATTGAAGAGTTAAAAACATTCATCTTATTCATTTAATTTCATGTGTAAGGAAAACACTTGACAGACAAGTTATACAAAAGGCAAGATACTTTTGCCTAGATTTTTAAATAATAAATTCTACATCTGTAAAAATTTCCTGGATTGTGCACAAAGGTCAATGTCTGACCTTCATTGGTCTAGTTCTGTGTCATTAAAAAAATACAGTATCAAATCTTTCTCCCTCCCCCAAAAAACGAAAAGGAATATTTTAAATTGTGACTGTGTGAATGTAGTGTTGTCTATTCTGATGGATACAAAACACACAAAAGTCACCTTACTCAGCAAACTACTTTCTTCATACTGTAAACATGTCTTTCCCTACACCTGGACATTTCCATAGTCTTTGGTATTACTAATTATTGTGCTTTGAAACAGAAACTTAAAGGATTTCTGTAGCAATACTATGTAGATATTTTAAGATATAAATAAGAAAAATGCACTTGGAATAAGTTACAGTTAGCTGCTTTTGCATAATTTTCAAAAACGAAAACAAAAACTACAGTGTATGCCTAGTCACAGTTTTATGAGAAAGAATACCTCCTTTTCTACCTCCTTAGGTTTAAGGAACACTTAATCATTTGGGCTAAAAGTCCATATTTGGAGTGAATCTGGTGGATTGCAGGGCACTAAGTTTGGATGCTCCCCATTTGCTGAAAGGCACATTTGTAGGAATGAATTGTATAGAAGTTGATCCTGAAATAAAAGGAAAAACAAAACAAGACCAAAAAAACATTAAATTTCAAGACTCATAGCTAAACTCACAAATATGAAAACTACTTTATAGTCTAATTGAAGCTAAAGGGTGGCTTGCGTATCAAATACGTATCATTCTTAACAATAAATCTCTAATATTAATTATGGCAGGATTTGGGTTTATGGTTTAAACACCATTTATACCATTACCATTCAATTCACACGCAATATTACAAAAATTAAGGGAGTAGACAGAGCAAGCTTTCAATAAGCCTTTCAAACAAGAACCATTCTGTCTGTAGATCTTTAAATGGAAAATTCTTTAAAATATCACCAGTCCTTATGGTACTCTGGTTGCTCAAAACAAAAGAATTGCTATGCTTCAGTGGAGTACTAAAACGTGTACTGAAGGCAACTTGAGACAGGAGAGATCGTTCACGTATTTTCTCAATTTTAGATTCATAAAAATAAACTGAAGCAGAGGAGGAATGACCGGGTCCCCTTAGGCGATTAAACGTCATTTTCCCCCTCGCTACCCAAGAAAGAAAGGGGGAAAGCCCATCACAAGAGGTAAAATACCCTCAAAAACCATAAAGGAGAGTGATTATTAACAATTCCCAGGTGTGCTGATAGCAATAAACATAACTCCAACCAGCAATTACTTTGATTCTCAGTGCATTGAACGTATAGAGATTTGATATATTGGGCACATACACACAGGTAGAGAAAGTTGGCAACGGTAGACAAATTCTGGTGGATAGTATGAATGTACAGTATTTCACACATTTTCACCAATAAGCAATTTTGTTATTGTTACATAGGGCTCAATCAAGTTCAATTGCTACCCAAAGTAACCCAGGTGACAGGGTAGAACTGCCCCCAGGGGATTCCCTCGGCCCATGGCACAACACGTTAGGAGTTGGGCTGCTCACCCCAAACAAGGTCAACACTCGGAGGGCAGGCAGCCTCTCCCCTCTCCCTCAGAGGGGAGTTTCTAGTCCCGTGTCTCAACAGTCTCGGGAACTCACAAGAGAAGTCCCAGCCTGAGTCCCACAGGGCCGCTAGCAGTTGGAATCGGCTCAGTGGCAGTAACAATATAAGCAAATAATCTCGGAGGGGGATCACCAGGTCTTTCCCCCATGCACTTTCTGTGAGCAGCCGTGCTGTTCACCATGGGTGCCATCAGGGCTCCTCAGAGAGCCGGAGAACTGAATACAGGGTGACAGAAAGGGGTGAGCTGGTTTCCCTGAGGTACCTTCTGGATCTCCCAGATCTGTTCTGCGGCAGGAACTGTCCCGTGACCTTTGTAGGCGCATGCCCTCAGCTGAGCGGGACCTTGGGCAGCATGAATACACAATTCCTTCTGAATGTTATGCCGGATTTCGTGCTGGGCAGAGTATTCAAAGTACTAGGGACGGAAAAGTGCTGTTACTGAAAAAGCTTCCTGTATACTCTGCTGCACAATAACAAAGTCATGTCTGCTTCAACAAAATAAGACAATAAAAAGCAAACAAAAATAATACAATAAAGGGAGATGTCGGACAGTGTAAGATATAACAAAATAATAATAATTTCTAAATTATCAAGGGTTCACGAAGGAGGGGGCAGCAGGGAGGGAGGGGAAAAAGTAAGCTGATACCAAGGGTTCAAGCAGAAAGCAAATGTTTTGAGAATGATGATGGCAACAAATGTACAAATGTGCTTGACACAACGGATGGATGCATGGACTGTGATACGAGTTGTATGAGCCCCCAATAAAATGATTAATGATATACAATAAAAATAAATTTTTAAAAAGACATAGTAGCCTCCCTTCAGTGCAATACTGAAATGTAGTGAAAAATGTATTTCTCCCCAGCCCAGGAATTAGAAACAAACTCTCCGGTAGGATGGACAGCACGCTAGGCAATCCATAGACTGTGCCGGGAGGAGTTCTAGTGAGCACAGTGCGTCTTCCTGTCCACATGAACCCCGTCTCCCTCCCTCCCTCACCCCAATGGCATTTTCACCTAAGTAGACACTAGGGAGTCCTGTCCAACCTCCGTTTCCTCCCCTTTAACGTACGTAACGTAATAGCTCTTAACCCATAAGGTTATAAAGGTAAAATAAATAATACATGATAAGCCCTAGAACAATGACCAGCACACGTGGTCAATAATAAATTTTAGTTATCATTACTATTATTGATTCTCTCTCTCCATCCCATTAACCTCTAATTTAGTAACATTTTTATTCCTCTGAAAAGCTACCATCTCATCAATGCTGACTACAGTGTCCTCGCTTCTTATTCAGACCCCACACCCCCTTGCTTCCACTTACTTCCCGCTTCTGCTCCTAGGGCCTATGATCCACTTCGCTGTCAAGAGTCATCCCTTTATAACATTGACCCGACACAACGGTTCTCTCCTTCCTCCGTGTACATGTCATTGTCTGATTGGCACGTGGAAGCTTTCCTTTTTTATCACAGGTCAACAATTGTCTCAATGATATACTGTCTTCCCTCCACACAATTCTACCAAAGCCGAACATGCACATTCTTAACTATAAGACTGCTCTCCTGAGCTCTGCCTGGAGCACCCGTCTGACCCCCTCTCTCTGGTGAACTGTTTTTCATCCCTCAAGGGGATTTGGTTTCCATATTTGGTTTTCCTTGAATGTGTCCAACTGTATGAAATTACACCCTCTACGAAGTCCCCACACTACATTGACGGTCAGGTTTGCAGTACACTGTTAGAATTGTATGTGTGGCTTGAGAGCTTCCTCATAAGGCCCAAGTCAGACAATTTCTACTAATAACAGTCATGACAAATGAAATACTTAGACATACTGGTATTCTCCAGATAAAATTGACATCATTGATTTTCATTAATGAAATATTGGTTTTTTTTGTTGTTGTTTACCAGGCCTTGTTGTTTTGTTGGGCGGGCTTTGGGTTAGGCCTTCCCCGGTTTTGGGTTGATTTGCCGGGGCGTTGGTTTTTGATTTTTTTTCCCGGGGTTTTGTTTTCTTGTTTTTTTTCCTTTTTTTCTTAAAATTACTTTACTTGGCTTTTTTTTTTAATTTTTATTGGAATTGGGTGACGGTTTACATAACAAATCAATTCTCCATTCAGTAATTCGTGTACATGCATTGCAATTTGCACAATGTATCATCACCTATCCCACTTGTCCCTGTGTTGGTCCTTTCCATTCCTCCTTCCTTTACAACCTTCTGAACTGTCCTTGGGCAAATTCTGCCCTCTTGATCTCATTCGGCCCGTTGTTCTAAAGAGTGGGGACCCCCTAGATATATGTCCCCCGTATAGATCTACTGTTTGGCTAATGATGGGTCCATGGGACTGCATTCAGTTCCAGACTTAAAGGGTGACAAAGAGGCCCAGTTTCAGGTAATCCATCAGTCTCCGTCTGACGAGTAATTCTGGGCTTATTTATTTATTTTATTTCTTTTAATATTTTGAGTTATGCTCTACATTTTTCCTCCTCTACCCAGGACCTTCCAATGTGATCTCTTCTGGGGGCACTGGCAGTGGTGAACTGGCACCAACTTGTTCTCCTGGTCTCGGGTCATAGAAATTGAGGTTTTAGATGGGGACTCAAGAAACTAAACTTCATGATGCAGTTTAAATGTGGTATTAAAACAATTTTAAAAAACCAAATGAAGTCAGTGGGGCTGTATTAGGATATTAGGACCTTTTAAACATATAAACCAGGCAAGAGGGGGCTTTGAAAATTCCTGGGAAAACAAAAGATACTGGATTCCCACCCACCCCCAAACCGCTTGATGCCCTCTCATACTATACTCCTATTCAACCCCATCCCACACACCCCCACACACACATCCTATGGCTTCTGTTGCACTAAGAGTGAAGTGTAAGTTCTTAAATGGAGCCCACAGAGTCTGACAGGACCAGGTCCCTCATGAGTCTCTCTGAAACCATGCCTCGCCCTTTCTGCACTGGGCCTCTCCTGGACACTCTTTCTGGCCACTCCATGTCCTACCTCTCGTCTGCTGTCCGTGCCACTGCCTCCACCCAGAAGATAGTCTCCTGGAGAGTGGGGCTTCTCCCTACTCCACTGTGCATTTCCTTTCAGAGTGTCATCTCCTAAACTCTGAAAACACACAACCCCGTGCACACGCACTGCACGCAATCTCAACTACCTTGCTTCAAATTTTTTTCAGACTGAAATTACATGTTTCCTTTTTTCTTCCCCTTCACAAAGTCAGGGACTTCGATATGCTCACTACTACCATGGTGCTGTAACTACATCATAGACTCTAAACAAGTATTTTGTTTTGAAGAATATGTGAAATTTTTCTCCATCTCCCCAAATTTCTATAAAACAGCTACAGTCTGTAATTTTAAAATTATTTCAGAGGTAGAGAATGACACAAGTATCTCTGTGGCAATGATTTTTTTAAAAATGTTTAAAATACAACTTCTGCTCTTAAGAGGAAATAAATGTAATGCTAGAGGAAGCATGCATTATATTTGTAAATATTAATATTTAATATCATTTGACATAGGAAATTCTTCCCTTTGCATAAAACTTAGTTTTTATTAGTATAGTCCAGTGTTATAGACTCAAACTCACAACCATGGAGTCTGTTCTGATTCATAGTGAGCCCACAGAGTTCATGGCAGTAGAAAGCCTCACCTTTCTCCCATAGAGGGGGCGGTGGTCTTGAATGATGCCAGGGCTTGGTGGCACAGTAGGTTACACCATGGACTGCGATCACCTAGGAGAGCAGTTTGAAGTAACCAGCCACTCCGAGGGAGAAAGGCAGGGCTCTCTTCTCCCATAAGGAGTGCCAGACTCAATGGCAGTGAGTTTGTTTTTGAGTGTAAAAAACAAGTGTCCAATTATTTATTTATTTATATTTTTTCTAGCATATAAACCCAAAACCCACTGCCATCAAGTCAGTTCCAACCCATACTCACTCTCACTGTTGTCAAGTCCATTCCAACCCAGAGAGATCCTGGAGGACAATGTAGAACTACCCCCTGTGGGTTTCCAAAGCTGTAAATCTTTATGGGAGCAAAAAACCTCACTGTTCTCCCATGAAGCACAGAGTGGGTTCAAACTTCTGACCTTATGGTTGGCAGTCCAACTAGCAACCCACTACCCTACCAGGGCTCCATTCCAATTCATAGGAACCCTAGATATAGTTTCTCAAGCTGTCAATCTTGACAGAAGTAGGCAGCCTCCCCTCTCTCCCATAGAGCAGCTCATGGGTTGGGACTGTTGACCCTGAACTTAGCAGCTCAAAATGTAACAAATGATTTCATCAGATCTCCTTGGGGAATCATGAGCACATAGTTTATATATTTAATATTGTGAAAACCCCTCCACATAGATCGTAAAAAAACAAAACCAAATTCACTTCCACTGAGTCGATGCCAACTCACAGCGACCCTAGAGGATAGGATGGAACTGTCTCCATGGGTTTCTGATATTGTAACTCTCTACAGGAGCAGAAAGCCCCATCTTTCTCCCACAGAGCTGCTGATGGTTTTGAACTGTTGACCTTGGGATCCCAACCCAATGAGTAACCACTGTCAGAAAAGGCACATGCCAGCAACTCTCCTTAGTACACACTCTATGCATTCAGCTCTCATTTCTACTAACTCCTAATTATCTTTAAAATAATAGTAAGTTTTAAGTGTCATCTTCCCCAGAAAAAGGTATGGATACATAATCTAAGGAAGGTGCCCACATATATGAGGGGATACCAAAAAAATAAGAATACTTTTCAAACCTATGTATTAAATATTTTTACAAAACAAAACTTATCACCTTCTAAATACTCTCCATTACACAATACATTTGGAAAATCTGCAATTCCATTCTTGGAAACGTTTTTCAAACTCCTCTGTTAGGATGGCTGCCAGGACCTCCTTCATTCTTTTCCTCACCTCTTCAACTTCGTCAAATTGCTGTCCTTTCCTGACTCTGCATTTGCAGCAACAATAAAAAGTCACACAGAAGCGAGGTCAGGTGAGTCTGGTGTGGGGGGCAAGAGTGGCATACTATTTTTTGCCCAAAACTGGTGCACTGAGATGGCTGCATGAGCAGGTGCATTGTCGTGGTGGCAAAACGAGACCCTTGTCTGCCACAAATCAGGCCTTTTTTGTCGCACACTGTTACGCAGTCTTTTCAGAACCTCTAAATAGAAAGCTTGATTAACAGTCTGACCTGGGGGAACCAACTCCAAATGCACTACAATGAGATATTTTTGTATGTTCGGGAAGCTGACAAACATCCAGAACAAGGTTTGTCATCAATCAACATTTCACCTATTTTGAAACAAGAAAACCACTCGTGCACTTGAGTTTTCCCCATGGCACTGTCCTTGTAAGCTGTGCATAGCATCACAACAGTTTCTGCCACATTTTTCCTGAGCAGGAAACAAAATATCACAGACTCACACTGTTCTCTTATATTGGTCATCACAAAAAAACGAGGTTCGAGCAAAATTGTTTTTGACGAAAACATTCACTGTGACCAGAGAGAACCTTTCCAGGTGATGCCACTGGGTTCACTAACTCAGAGCCAGTTTCTAGGTGGTCGCCTAGCAGGAAAAATGTGTACTGCAAAGTTCTGCTCTGCCCAGTGCAATTCTGTTTTTTGGGGGAGTACCCCCAGGTATATGCTCAGACACTCAAAATACTTTAGTTAAAACCTATCATACTATCACTTTCCATTCTGAAATCTGGTTTTCGAGCAGGAAATTGTTAGGACCCTGCAGCACTGGCATGGAGGAGTCACTCAGTGAATGTGTTAAGTGAACAAATGAGAGAAATATAATCTACCCCGGCATAAATTCATTTGCAAAGGGAGGAAGTTAAAAAATAAAATTTAATATGTTGTCTATACATAGCCGGTTGTGACTGAGGTGGCTTCAAATCCTGGTAACCCCATGTGTGACAGAGAAGAACTGTACTTCATATCGTTCTTCTTACCACATTTCTCAGAAACAGATCGCCAGGCCTTCAGCCAAGGTGACCTCAATGTCAGCCTGTTTGTCAGCAGCAAACTCAATCACCATCCACACCACCCCAAGGCTCCATGGTCAGCCACGTTGGTAACATTTTACTCTTGACTGCTATTTGGTATGCCAGTCAAAGAATGAGAATAATCAGGGATATCACTAATCGAGGAATATCAAAAAAACACCTTTTGTAAAAGAAGATGCTGAGATAACCTAACTGAAAAAAAATAACTTGCCATTCGACATTTCTGATATTAGCATTTGATATAATCAGAAACCAAATTCAGTTAAACATGGCCTTTGCGTAAGCTTCTGCAACATCACCATGCCAATAGTTGTACAAACATCAACAAGTCCGTAGCCTAGAGATCCTCTTTTTAAATTTTTCAAATGCAGATATTCCATTGCTTTCTCATTTGCCTTTCTACTGAATGTAAAAGCAATTTCCAATTGTATTCTATTCATCTAGAGTAAAAGACAAAAGAGGGTACAGCAGACCCTTAATATCAGGGGCCAAACTCTGTCTGAGAACATTTTCATATCCCAGCTTAGCTGACTGTCACACTGATTAGAAATCAGATGACTTACAGGTGTTTGCAAGGACTAATAAGATGGGTGGATTCTGAAGCCAATGCTTACCTGGTTCCCCCCAAGTCCATGGCACGTGTACATAATCAACGGTTTTCCTCCTTGATTATTTTCTCCAACGTCCAGACATAGATTCTGACCTAAGTTTTTAATCTAAAGAAAAACGCAAGTTACATTATGCATTTAAAAAATTTTCCCACTTTAAAAGTTCCTCAATGAGTTTCAGAAAGTAGTAGTGTGTTAATGATTATAATAATGTAAGATCTCAGAAAGCAATAAACCAGAAGATATTTCAGCAATTTTCCCTGAACCACATAAACATTTGTGGCAAGGAATATGTCGAATTAAAAAGGAACAGGAGAAAACTCACATATCCAGAAATCACAGGATTAAGGTCTGGCACATATGCTTCTGGATAAATAGTGTTCAGATACCATGTAAAGTTTTTACATTGAAGGCGGTGCTTTATTTCCAGTCTCTTTGAAAGGTCACCAAATGATTTCTGGAGAGAGAAGTGGAAGGAAGGGAGTGCTTAATCAAACATGCACTGATGTGGCACTTCAAACACTACTCTTTCCTGTTTGTATGTAAGCCTTTTTAAGAATCGGAGCTAACAGTCTGGGTGCGGTATAGCACTGATGAAACATACAACTTTCCTCTACTTCTTTAATACTTCCTCCCCGCCACTATCATGATCCCAATTCTACCTTACAAATCCAGCTAGACCAGAGGATGTACACTGGTACAGATCAGAGCTGGAAACACAGGGAATCCAGGACGGATAAACTCCTCAGAACCAGTAATGAGAGTAGTGATACCAGGAGGGTAAGGGGAAGATGGGGTCGAAAGGGGGAACCAATCACAATGATCTATATATAACCCCCTCCCTAGGAGACAGACAACAGAAAAGTGGGTGAAGGGGTACATCGGGCAGTATAAGACATGATGAAATAATAATAATTTATAAATTATCAAGGTTTTGTGAGGGAAGGAAGGGAAAAAATGAGGAGTTGATACCAAGGGCTCAAGTAGAAAGCAAATTTTTTGAGAATGATGAGGGCAATAAATGTACAAATGTGTTTGACACAATGGATGGATGGATGGACGGACGGACGCACGAGCGGATTGTGATGAGAGTTGTGTGAGCCCCCAATAAAATGATTTATTAAAAAAAAAGAAGAAGAGTCGGAGCTAAATTGCAAGATGGAACTTAATTGCAATCACCATTCAGACATTCCTACCCTAAACTGCTGTAGCAAAGGAATGGGGATGGGAGCACCCAAATTTTACCCAAACCAAACCGAACCCCAACTGTTCCCAGGCCAATCCCGACCAGAGAAACACTGCATAGGGTTTCTGAGATTATGACGCTTAAGGGAACGAACTACCTCATCTTTCTCTACAGAGCAGCGGATGGGTCTGAACTGCTGACCGTGAGGTTGGGAACGCAATGCCTAACCCAGAGTGCTACCAGGGGCCCTAAAATTGTATCCACTGATGTGTGTGGTGTGAGAAAGCTGGGATAGATAAACCGTGTCAATATCTGAAACAATTTGCTGCTCGGCTCGTCAAGACCACAAGAAAATAACACAGTTGGAAATGATCTGCTTAGTTCAACAGTGGTCTTGCCTACACCTAACAATATACCCAGGAAAGGGGCATTTTTGAGCCAAGTGAATTTCATTTTCCCCTCCTTTAAGAAGGGGATTAAGAAGACATTTGCTTTAAAAGGGAGTATTATTAGACTAAAATGGTATGTGACCAATAGGCAGATTTTCAGAGGAGAATTCATTTGTCAGCTAAAGTTAGGCTAGAGCAGAGCTGCCCCAGAAGGCTCCTTTACAAAAGCAGATGGCCACATTGCTCTCGCCTCTTGCATGGGGAGGCTGGTGGGTTCAAACTACTAACCTTTCAATGAACAGCCCACCACTTAATCACCAGGGTCTTTTATAAAAAGGCAAATATGCAAGCTTACCTACTCAACTAAGGAAAATATTTTCTTATGCCAACCTGTGAGAAACAGAAGGATTTCTCCCAAGTTGTCTCCCCCAAATACATGCCAAGCTAAGCGGCTTGCGAATGACTATACACTTGGAGGTCATCAGAAGTAGGTCAGGGTTATTCTCCCTAAGGGTTATCAGCCATCTAGACCAAGCAGATACCACTATTTATCCCACAACAAGTAGGGCCCACTCCCTTCTGATAAGGATAGTAGTTGTCTGTTTCCTTGTAGGAGACGCTCAAACCACCCCAGGATGACCAAGGTTAGGCTGCCATCATGAATCTAGCGTCTACCCATCTTGTCACATGTGCATCCCTAGACCTTCCCATTCCTATGGGCACACCCCTAGCTCATCCCCTTCCTGTCATGCTTATGCCTATCATACATCCCCTTCCTACGATGTGTATGCCTATTGTACTGCCCCTTCCTGTGACATGTGGTTACCTGTAATCATGCCCCCCTAAGGAGATACAACCCTTGGTTAGCAATAAAGTAGGAGCTCTCTCCTGCTCTTGCTCTGAGGCTCTCCCCATGAGGACCACTAAGCGGGGCTGAGGTGAGCATGCTACCATGAATTGTGTCTGACTCCATTAATGCAATCTTGCCTGTATCTCTCATGCTCTCTATAACTTCACCTATAATCTTTACTTATTATCGCCTACTGGACCTGTGATGATTTGTTGGGGACCCTACTTCCCCACACCAACCTCACTGTCATGAACCAAGGCCTTTTGGAGAACAGTGTGAGGTTCTTGCAATTTCTCTGGCGACCCTGGGCCTTTTATGAGTACTGAGTAGGCCTGGCTACCTTGTGCTAGCAAAGAAGGGCTTCCTGACTCATTAGCCCTGTGGATGACAAGCTGAGCACGGGCTGGCTGCTGAGTGCCCATGGGTGCCCGCCTGCCATGATCTTGCTCTGGCAGTCTGGGGGAATACAGATTTCAATCTAATCCACCAGTGTTCGGATTTTGCATACTACTGACATGACACTGGGCAGCAAAAACAACAACAAAAAGGTGAAACCAGATCTTTCTTTACCACAACAGTCAAAATATTGATAGCCTGGATCCACAAGAAACAATCCTCAAATTACCACTGTTTCCTACCAAGAGTTCAGGCGCCACTCACTGAAGCATGTCATTAAGTTGACTGTCCTGATTATCAAATATCAATCTTAAGCTTGGTTGGAACTCGATTCTATTCAATTGAGTATCAAGAGGCACAGCAGGTCAGTAACAACAGCACCATACACTGGATAGCACGTATCACTTTCCTAGTTCACAGCTACCTGGAGAGAGAGGCAGGCCAGGTACTCCGTCTCGGAAGACGGGGAAGGAGAGCGAAGTGTGACAAGCATACACACCACGTCCACTCCATGAAGCTTTATCTTCATGTCTAGTCTCCCCAGGGCTTTGCCAAGGTAGCACCTCAGTGAATAGCAGAGGCTGCACTTGGAAAGACAAGGCTTCGGCATTCCTGGTTCACAGTCTCCTGCCACTCCTCTCTCCCCCCAAATTCAAAGGGGCACCTTTATCTATGACTTATAGATTAGCTAATTATATGTCCAAAAACCAGTATCAATAGGTACCACTCAATCTCATTTTAAAATTTTGAGTAAACTATTGAATTAAGTCAATTTAGAAAAACAAACTTCTTTCTACACTAAAAGGAACATCAATTAGAATATCTGCACTGTTAAAAAGCAGTCCGCTTATGTAATAATTCCTTTCGTTAAATGATAAAACTGAAGGAGGCATATTTTTTAAGAGTTCAAGTTTAAGAAAAAAAAAACAGCACCCCCCCTCCAAATTAGTTTTCTATGATTTCTATTTGAGATTTAAATGAACAACAGGACACATAAACTTAGTATAAATACTTAAGTAACTAACTTACTTGTCTAAGGAAATCGGGTAGGATAGTGGGTTATGCGCCGGGCTGCCAAATACAAGGTCAGCAGTTTGAAACCACCAGCAGCCACTCTGCAGGAGTCCGAGGGGGCTCTCTAAGAAGAGCTCCCATCTCGGACACTTGCGGGGCGTTCTCCCGTGTGCTCTGGGGTCACGAGGAGTCCGCGTCGACTCTGTGGCAGTGAGATTTTTGCTTCTTGGGCTGGTTGGCTGGTTGGCACTTACCTGTTTGACAATTTTTGCCGCATCTGTGTTTCTCCTATAAAATATTTCCTTGTATTCGTCCATCCAGACTTCGGCGAGGCGAACTTGGTTGCGGGCAATCACCTGAGTGCCTTTTGGAAAGGTGTGAGGGCTTTTGCTGCGAAAAACATGTCCAACAACAGAGCAAGGCATAATCTCCAACTGCCCACCACATTGCCACACCTGACAATTAATGATATTTGTTTAAATCCACAGTACTTCACAAAGGTCAAAGTGTTGCATTTACGTTTACTGCATTTACGGTTTTAATTAGAATAGTGAAAACAAAAGTTACACTGAAATAGTGTAACTTCACCAACAATACCTGTCCCCTGAAAGTTCAACTGAGGCACTTACATACAAACTTTTTTTTTTTTTAATTAAAACTACCCAAACACTAGAGACAATGAAAGCTCCTATTTGGGGTAAGAAAGGTACCAAAAGTGATTCCAGACAACTTATACGAATGAATTCCAAAATGTCTCCCTTTGTAAACAATTCTGTAAGCATTCTAATTGCACAGGAAGACTAATGGCTCTTCTGTTTTTGACGTCCCTCTTCTTCCACTACACATAGTCACTTCCTGGGTCTTTCTTGTAGTCGGTTAACCAGCAGTCTGAGGACCAGTGAACCAGCACCCACCAACTCCGTGAACACTGAATTTTATCATCAAGAAAACAATTCCAGTGTGCTAGAGTGCCCCTAAGAAGCAGTTGGTCTTTATAAAGTAACACATTCCTATTAAACAAAGAGCTTCAAAGAAACAAAACAAACCCTTATTTGCAATAACTTTAAATAAAATGGCAAATCATGAATTCGATACTTTTCTACTTAAATCTCTTGATAATTGGTTGGCCTTGACAGAAATAATCACTAAGTAAAAAAATCTGAAATGCGCTTCTTGTGGAGGCTTCCGAGGGGCATTTAAATAATGAGAGTCTGACATGAGGTCATGTTTAATGGTACATACTAGGGTTAGGGAAAGCAATCATATTCTCTCTCCTTTCCCCACAAGAAAACTTAGTGGTGTGCTCAAATTAACAAACTGTGTGGGATACAAATGTGCTGGGTGTTGGGAACCCAAAACAAGTAAGAAAAGGCCCCGATCCTAAAGGGGTTTAAGCTTAGCTAAGACAATCACTGCCAAGATGTGTGTATTAGGGAACCGGAGCCAAACTTACATCTTCTAACGCCTAATCCACCCTGTTTTCTACCACATTCCAGCCTAAGGTATGAAAAATGAACTATAAATTGCAGGAAAGTGAACTCATGAAATCAAATAAATGAGGTACATGTGGAGACCATCCAAAACCTCCATTTTGTTTCTCATATTAACTTTTAATGTGTATGAAGAAAAACCACCTCATTTAATTCAAAGGGCTAAGTCCAAAGTCCTTAGAAATCATACATAAATGTTTTTCCATTCTGACTCCCTTGATAATCAACTCATTTCCTGAAGCACTGGACTTAATTATATTTATCTTGGCTGGAATTCAGTAACTACAAGTGCATTAATTGGTGTTATTGCCTAGACACAGAAGTTTAACGGATTCTTCTTGTTACACTGGCAATAACTAATAAAAATACTAAGTTACACTTTAAAAAAGAATATCTTTGTTCTAAACTTCCCAGCAACTACATTTTAGAAGAGACAGAAAGTAACTACCGCCCACATGCATTTTAATCGGTATCCACCATGCAGAACACAATATATTTCACTGGTTAATGTATATGCTATATATAATCTCCATAAACTTACTCGGAAAGACATTTCTATATTTTCACCTCCCCAGATTTCCATTTCTTCATCATACGTTCCAACGTATTCAAAATAGGCTTTTGAGATGGAAAAAAGACCTCCTGCAAAAGTGGGTGTTCTGAAAAAAAATCCATTGTCAAAAAGTAAAACAGCACGAAGAGCAAGTGGATCCATTTGCAAGCAAATTAAGCAGCTATCACACTCGTAAAGCGTCGCATGTAGGTCAACAAAAACCAAAAACGTCATTTTCAAAGTCAAGTTTTGGTGGGGGGAATACACATACACTTTTAAGTGTTTTCTCCCCGCAAACCATAATTACTGATTCACTTTTCCCAATCGAGCTTAAATAGTCATAAACAAAGACCAAGAGGAAAGCCTAAGAAATCACTAACTTCTGCTGCCCACGCCAGGACACCTAAGCAAACGACTTCTGTATTCCTGACATACAGAGTGTGGCGTTACGTCCTTGGCAGGGATTACCTCATAGGCAAGTGCTGTAAAAGCAAATGGGGCATACATATTTAAACAACCACACAGCCGTGGGGTGCAGATGTGGAGACTCTGAGAACAATCATCTTACTTAATTGGGTAGGTTTCATCTTTCCGTCTTTGCTTCTCGTGATCAGGAAGGGATTCCCAGCCAAAGGCAAGGCTCCAGTCAAAGTTTCCACGGTTATGGTTACTTCCATAGGGAGAAGGCTTGTTGAATTCAAAAGTATTAAGATCTATGGATGCAATATCTGGACTCACAACCGCCGTGTAGTTCTCCGCTATTCTGGCCAACAAAGGCTCTAACCAACCATAGAAGCATTCACCTACAGAAAAGCAGTTTCAATTAACTTTGCTTTTAAAAATGGAGGGTTTGTTTGTTCGCTTTGCTTTTGTTTTTTTGTGGGGAAGCAGAGGATCGGCTTACAGATAATAACAATGCCAAAGTCATGTGTGCTTCAAATATTAATACATGGAAACTGTGTATGTGCGTGTGTGTGTGTGTGTGTGTGTGTGTGTGAGAGAGAGAGAGAGAATGAAAGTGAAATTAAAAAGGTAAAGATTTTGTATATGTTAAGAAAAAAACCTAAATAAAAGAGTTTTTGCCCCATAAAAGAAGTAATATTGGTAAATTTAGGATTCAGCTCATGTGTTTTGCCCTAAAAATGGACCATGAATGAAGAAAGGTAACTTCGTGCTGGTCAAAATCATCTCATCCATAAAAGACCTGTATTCTGATTTATTAAACTTGTATCCGTGAATAAGATACAGCCACTGAAATACTAGTTTTTCTGATGGGCTCTTATTAGAAATGAGTCTGGATTTCTGAAGAATTAAAGAAGGAGGAAGACTCAAAGCTGCCCGGTTCCTAAAAGAAAAAAGCTGGAGCCAAGGAGTCCTGTGCACCTTCAAGTCTGGACACAGGACCAGCTGCGTCTGACATAATTCACCAGCGATGCTGACAGAGAGCCCCTGCCGAGCAGAGATGGACAGTCAGGTTTTAGGAGGTACCAAACTCTACCTGCCGACGATCAGGCACATTTGCCTGGAGGGGAAGACGACTAGGCCTGACATCATTTTCATTTTGGACCAAGAGTGGGATTATTAGAAAATGGGTTGTTTGTGTTTTTTAAAGGTT